TTTGGCCAAATAGAGAGATAACATGCCGGGGGAGTTGGCGACAAAAATGTACTCTCTAGCGGACCAACTCCCCCGGGCCCCGGCATGCTTTCTCTCTATTTGACCAATTTCTACTCTTCCCAGCCGCCTCCCGAAGCCTGGTAGAGGCTACCGAAAGCCCACACATTACGGAAAAAGTGGGATCTTTTGTGTTCCACTGTCTTCCAAAAAGAAGTCAAACCCAGTAGTTTTAGGAGTTATGGTAGTTTTAATTCCTTCTGTCTTGTTATGTATTACTTGTATCAAGGACATTATACCACTGATTGTACAGATATAATGTCCTTGCTTGTACTTATATATCACATGTTCCTGTTGTATTTGTAATTAGACCTCGAGATCTCAATAAACAATTTAATTCATTGGCCCTGTTAGCTACCCAAAGATCTCACCAAAGGTCAATTACTTGTATCAAGTTGTAGAAGACCATACAAAAGTCCCTGTACTTTTTTGTTGTGTCAATAAAGAATCATTAACGTCATAAGTGAATGAAAAATGAAACAAACAAACGTCATAGCCGCCGAGTTCTTCCTGTTTTTATCGCGACCGCCGCCCGTCACTAATGAACTCCAGTCGCCGTTCGCGTGTACTTGTTTGTTCGAGCGGAGGCGAAAAATGGCACGATCGCGACGTCCTTTTGATATATCGCCGCTGTTTAGCGAGTGTTTGCCAATTTGCCGGGCTAATAGAATAATGTGTAAGATAACAATGCGGCGTGTGATAGCGGCCTCTATCGCGTTGAAAATTAATGAGGATTAAATTAGCGGCATAATTGGGCGAATGGACGGTAACTACGACGGTCAACGGCCGCAGTAAATCATCCGGACACCGCCGGCTCAATGTAAGTCCGGGGCGTGCTGATGACTGGCGTTTCATGCGCGGGGAAGTAATGCGAGAACAGGTACTGTAAGAGGAAGAAGCCACCAAATTCCATCCTTATGTTCCCACGTTTAATTTAAAGAACGAAATCATTTTTTTTCAGGCCTTGGCTCCTGTACTAATAAAGGAAAACTGCTCTTCTCTAAACATCACAGAATCTAGCCGCTACCAGGCTTCGGGGGGCGGCTGGAAAGAGTAGAATAGAGAGATAATATGCCAGGGGAGTTGGTCCACCAAAGAGTACAGTTAGTGGCAAACAGTATAGCGGACCAACTCCCCCGGCATGTTATCTCTATATTTGGCCGATTTTTACTCTTTCCAGCCCTCTCCCTTAGCCTGGTAGTGGCTACACAGAACCTACTTTTTCAGAAAGAGTGTTGTCAGTCCCAACAAGTTAGAATTTCAGAGTTAGCATCTATACATTTATACTAGAGTGGTCGCGTGTCAGTTCTTCCTTGCTAGTCTTTTCATGTAACTCGCAATCATCCGTATAGCAAGAATTTGCATTAGATTTTTATTATTTTAACATTATTTGAGAAAGTTGAAAGGTCTTCGTTCGTTCGTTCGTTCACTCATTCAATCAATCAATCAATCAAAAATATGACGCCATTTTATGCCAACAAACACCCCCACAGCTTGACATCACAAGACAGGGAAATAGTACTACGCACGCCACACTTCCCACCATTTCAAAATATACACTACAAAAACATGGACTGCTTTTGAGGGAGGGTCTACATGTGGTCATCCTGGCAACGCTTATCGATAAATTACAGTAGGCAACGGTTAATAATAGTAAATTGACTTGTTATTGCGAAAACTTTTGGGAATGATTTCATTGTATTGCTCACTTTCTTTCATGGAGCTTCTGGCAAAACTAGGCCGCGAACACAGGCGGGCGCTCAGTTGTGACTTTTGGCCAGTCTGGCGTTTAGCTGGGCGATACGAAGAGTTTAATTTGTCATTTTGATAATTTCAGGATAATGCATAACGTGCTACCTCTCGTAGCATAATTTCAAGCTACCAACCGCGCTTCACGGATAATTTACTGACGACGCTAAACATTAAATTCGAGCGGTCAAATAATGTGATTATAATATAAACGGTGAATCAAAATAGCTCTTTACTTCACACGGAGAACGACTTGCAGACCTTCCTGACTGTATGTACTACAGTATCACAGGATACCGGAAGACATACAGACTAGGACTTTGGATCTAGGTGAGTCACGCCGGTTCTCACGAGTCCAGGTCTGGTGACCGGCGTCCACACCCCCGCGACCTCTCCTGGTCATACTCTACAAGCAGAAGCTTTCGGAGGTTTACACTTTTGTACAGGCCAGTACATGTATGTATATCCAACGAAAAGCTGACAAAATAGAGAGAGTCGCGGGAGCGAGCCGCTGTAATATAGGGACAACTGAACTTTGTAGTGGCCAAACTATAAACCTGGCAAATTATTTTTCCTATTGAGTAAAGAGAATCTTGTAACACAACCAAGTCTTTTATTCAGCCGACGTTTCAGTGACCGCCTGTCACCTTACACAGTGTCTTACCAACCTGATAAAAAAACTATTCACGGATATTTTTCCTATTTGGCTGCATTTTTACTATATTTCGACCCCCGTCGATAGTTTTGTGGGGACTAGTTCTGTCAGGTCGTGTGCCGGAAAACTTAAGCGGAGTTACACATTAATCAAACCCCGGGGCAGCGGAGGAATTCGCCGAGAGAGATTTTATAACAGACCAGATGTACATCAACACTGAGCGGTTTACTTTAATACGTTACAAGTACGACCTATATGCAAACAACTGACCCGTGCACTAGTGAATCCAAACACCGCGGTCCACTTTCCTCCTATCGACAACGTGTAGCAATAATGTAACGTCCATTTGTGGACTTCAACTCACTCTTTCTAGTCAGTCACCGACCCGAATTAAGAAGGTTTCATAATTGTACAGTGCGTCCCTATCTTTGCTATGTCACATATAAACAGCGCAGCGAGCAATACAGTCTACATCGCAGCACAACCTATCCGAAGGTTGGCGTCTCTCTACTCTGCCTTTCTCTGTCTTTTTGGAGTACAGCAAAGGATTATTGCGCAGATATCTGGACACATTGATTCCGATCTGAGCAAAGATAGCCCAACAGATAGCCCTACAGAGGTATGGCTTCTCAAGCAAACTTACGAAAGGATCGTACAAGCGGTGTATGTAGCCACCTGCTTGCATGCTCGCGTGGGAAGCAGCCCCCAATATTATATACCGAAGCCTCACACATAAAACTTGACTTGCTTACCTCTGTATACTTGATCTCAGGGTTGCGCTGGGCCAGCTGGGCTAGCTGTGCGAACTGTGCCATGTCCTCCATGCCTGCGGTACGATGAGTTTTGCCGGTTACTGCTGCAGATCAGATGGCGTGCGGAGATCTAGACGGGGGCTGTGCCCGTTATAAAGTCTGAGGCCACAAACACAGCCCGCCTCTCATTGGTCGAATCTACTTCCTCGCTGCTCTGCGATTGGCTAGTCGTCAGTGCGCGAAGTCCGGTCCTCCCTACGTGAAAAATTCGCGACACCTTGAAAGTCTACCTGACTTACATTTCTCACATAGGACCAATTCCACACTTCTAGAATTCCAACACAAACATGAGCGCCGTTATAATATGATGAACAGTTTGTCCTCGCGATCCGGGAAAACATTCCCCTGGCTGTGTCACTCAGACTCACACGTGTTGGCTGTGTCAGCTCCACGTGACAAATTAGACCTGACAGGTCCCTTTTTGCTTGCATGAGGACCACGCGGTCGCGAGATGACGCCAGATATGCATTTGTACACCCAACATTCCTCCCCAACCACCATCTGTTTGTCCAGATATACATTATTAATAGTCGCGTCAGCACGGACTTTTAATTTGCACAGATCCTCTCTTTGCCTTCCTGTTCATGGTTTGAAAGATTACACGATGTACTAGTCCAGATTATAGATAGGTGTACGTTGCGTTAGTAATAACCTGTGTAGTCGCTTTGACCTATAGAATGAAAGACCTTTCTTGTACGTTTATGCTCTTACAAGCTAAGTACAGGTCATAAACAGCAAAAACACTTAAACTATACATACTAAAGTGATCTACTATTTACAGGTTCAACTTCTTCTCGCCTCTTGAGGCAGTTGTAGATGTACGAACATATTGAGCTAAGGCCACACCAATTTAATTTGTTGGTTCTCGGATTTTTTCAGAAAAAATATGAAGCGACAGGGCGAAAAAAAATAAAAATAAAAACAGGTCTAGGCATCCTATTATAGGCTTAAATGCTGCAAAGTGAGCCATGAAGTCAACACAAAAGGCTGGGTTAAAATTTAAACATTGAATTTTGAACTTTTAATCAAACCACTGCAATGATAGATGGGAAAACTGTAACAACTAGGAAGAAAAGGACTTTCCTCAACTGTTGGGGGGGCAAAACATGAGCATTTTCCAGTTGATTCAGGACCAGAATCAATTTTTTTTTTTTTTGCAAATCAGAAAAAAACCAAGAGGCGAATCCGAGAACCAACAAATTAAATTGGTGTGGCCTAATGATACATGTTTTGTCAAGTTTCATACGGAATACGAATTTTTCTTATATGCTTATGTTTCAGAGAAGAAGAAAAAACAACATTCGTCTGTGACCAGGAGTCGAGGTGTGTGTTTGAATGTCTAATGATGTAATAATGAATTTCTGACTGACACCACTTCGTCAAACAAAACTGCAACACGTGGACAACACAAACACACATTAGCACTTGAGACGACACGAATTCATTAGTAGATACGTGAAAGTGAGAGAACATGCTTCGGCCCTTTTGGTTTTCATACTTTTTTTTGACTAATTGATTACCAGTTGGTTGATTTTACATCCTCTGATATTTGATGCAAGGAGCTTTCAAATTGAGGTCTTTGGCTGATCTAAACGTAATTTCATTGCTCTACTGGTTTTCTCTTGCGTAACCGTAACAGTGATTCTTATCTTAATGAGGATAACTTCAAAGACATACCCCCTTTCCACTACATGTAGAAGCCGAAATAAATAAATAAATAAATAAACATGTAGAACCTGCGACCCGTAGAGATCTGAGATCGCGAATTTAGTACATAAAGAACGAATCCTTTCACGATCTGTGTGTTTTGTTCCATACTTTGGAATCTCAGTGCGTCATATTCCAATTATGAAAGCAAGGGTGACACAAAGGCGCCTTTAGTCGCTGGACGGTCGCTCAGCGATCGCGGTTTAGTGGGATTAGGATAGTCTCCACCAGACTAACAACACGGGTAAAAATAAGGTAAAATGTAAATTGACTAGGGCAGTTAAGCCAGCGTAGAGTTCAATTGCCTGCTTCAGAGGGAGAAATTAACCCTCTCGCGGACTGACTCTCCTGGCCAACTATTCTCTTTTCTTTACCGAATTGTAAGATCCGTACCCCCGTAGGAAGGCCTGGTGGAGGCTACAATGACTCTCCTGGCCAACTATTTCTCTTTTCTTAACCGTACCCCAGTAGAAAGGCCTGGTGGAGGCTAGGATTGGGGCCTTACGTAAGATAGGGATGGGTGCGTTATACAATACGGAAGCGTTGCTATAGGAGACTGAAACATTCTTACTTATTGACAGACAGACGGACGTCCAGGGCTGCCCGACTGGCTGTATACGTACTGTCCGTCTATTTGCACTGGTTGGATTTGTTTATTTGTGTTTGACACACTTGTAAACCTGGCGAGGAAACACAATCGCACAATGCCGGTGACATGCATCTTATACTTACTATAGCACATTTCTCCAAACTCAAGATTGTGTTAATTTTCACCCTAGCCTCTACCAGGCTTCAGAAGCGGCTGGAAAGAGTAGAAATTAGCCAAATAGACAAATGACAGTCCAGGGGTGTTGGCCTGCTAAAGGAGTACGGTTCGGGAGCGTCAAACTGTACTCCTTTAATAGCGGACCAACTCCCCTGGCATGCTATCTGTCTATTTGGCAAATTTTTACCCTTTCCAGCCGCTTCTGAAGCCTGGTAGAGGCTATCTGCCTCCGTAATGATGACTGGCTCGTCCTATCAACTCTGGCAGCATTTCCCGCCATTTGTACTTCCGCACATTCCTTACCTTGAACGGGCACCAGGGAAATATTCGCGGGTTGAATAACTTCTAACTTTAGCCTCTAACTTCAACTGTACTATAGTATAATGTAAGTACTGTTACTCTGGAATGCTGGCCACTCTCCTCTCAGCAATTCCCAAGCAAGATTATATTTGCGGCGCTCGTTCCAAAACGACGTCCTTCGTAGGAATGGTGAGATTTGCCAGGAAAGTATTAGCCTGATGCTAAACCCATTTAGCTGCCGAAAGAGCCTCGACAGCTAAGGTATAGATTTGGAATACCAGCCTAAGGAAAAGTATGAAGAGGAAATGGAGGCCGGGCCAGCATTGGCAGGCCGTCACAATGGACAGGTCCCAGTGCAGTGCCCTTAATGGGAAATGTACTTTACACTTTCATGTATTTCCTCGTTCGACGTACGGTCACGTCAGTACCCAGCAGCTTCAGGTAGGGACGTCCTTTAGGATGAGACGTAAAGCTGGAGGTCCCATGTGTGAGGACAGCCACGCCTCGATTACATTAAAGGACCCACCACACTTTTACAGGTGTCCAGACCTTTGGTTATTACTTTTTGGAGGTCCCTTTTCCACATTGACACACGTATTAAGAATATTGGAATCTTGTCCATAGTGAACACCTGTCCACATAGACCAGATTTTATCCGTCTTCATTTATATACGAACAGAAAAGGGACAGCACTGCAAGATATGTTCAACTGCTTGTCTCTTTATTCACCATAGCTCATAAATTATATTTCGTTATTTCAGTAACTTTTCACCTTACAGAAACCTTTTTGATATCACCTTATCATGTCCAGGCATGTACGTAGAAACATCAGATAAAAATCTACAGATCAAACATGTTTTACCTTTCTTCCTACGTTATCATACCTGTGTTTTCCGTTGCAATTAGCCTTCGGGCATGAGTTTGCAAATACAGTTTGTTGATTTATCCTACTGAGCGGCTTCCGGGGATCAGCCGAGGATTACCCCGGGCTTAGCGACAGGTATCGCTGAACGATATCTCACAGGCTGGCGGATAATAACTTCGGTAGCATGCAGTTAGTTTATCCTACCTGCTAGAGCTGTTTGTGGTATTCTTTGTGTGTAAATTATCTTGTTCATCTCCACGAAGAAGTCAAGAATCTAAGTTTTTATTTTATAAAAGAGATATCCAAAGTCATTTGGTGTCAAATTTAAATCTAATCAAGATGCGTTATGTCAAAAATACTTAAAGTTTGTGTTTAGGACTTCTTTGTTTTAGAAATTCTGTACATGCATGATTGCATATACACTTTCATGTTGTTGGTTTGTGGCCTGTGCTAAATGTTTTTTCATGCAATAAAGAAACGACAGGTATATACAGATACAGAGAGTGGAACTCACTGTCACCAAGTACAGTAGGGTCATTGTCATTAGATAGCTTTAAACAATGCCTAGAGTTAGATGTTCAAGGGTTAGGTGTAACAAGTCGATCGGTGTAATGTAGCCAGCTGCCGCCGCGCCGCGTGCCTGCGAAGCTGGTGTGTTACGCCGAAAGGCGGTTATACCGGCTATACAGGTACAGATAAAGAAAATGACTTGCAGAAAACTTCCGTTATCGGTGTTTTCCCTCTGACTTGTCGTTCGTCCTCCCGTCCGTCTGACATGTATTAGGGTTTCCTTAGACCCCAAATTTGTCTTGAACGTCAAATATAATCAGTTCCAAATGTTCCCATGTCAAACCGAACAGGCGTCAAATATCCTCCTCTCCCAGCTGAGGCGAGGCTTGTTTTGGGCGTTTTTACACGTTTTGAGGGCTCTTTATTTTGTCAACTTTTCTTTGGGGTTAAGCTAGTATACTCAAAGAAAAGCCTACAAAACAAAAAGCCCGGCAAATGACTAAAACGCCTTAAGAATCGTCCAACTTTCCTTGGAGTGCACATTCCTGTTTCGACTACCCGTGTCCGAATAGCCTGTGAGATTGGACAAATCGCTACACTGCTTTCATTTTCAACTCGCAGCTCAAATCTCCGTACATTCACACCTGTGTCTATGTACTGATATTAAAGCAAAGATAACGCGTGCGTGTGACTTTTCGGCCACTACACGGCGATCGTTGAGCGACCCTTGAGCGACCAAAATTGGATTTGTGTCACCCTTGATTTTATAATCGGAATATGGTGCACGATTAAAAAGTATGCCAGAAGCGGAACGCGTCAAACGCATAAAAATCGTTCTTTGTCTATAGAATTCGTTGGTCGATCTGTCAATTTAGTCATTCAGCCTTTATAGCAGCAAAGGGGCTGTTATATCAAACCAGTTAAGCTGGTGTGTTCCGCCGAAGTGCGGTTATACCGGCTATACAGATACATAAGCTGAGGTATTACGCCGAAGGGCGGATATACTGGTTATACAGATACTGTCGATGTTTTCTCTCCCGGTGGAGAGAAAAAAAACCGTCCCATCTTTTTTTCGGCGCATCAAAGACATTCCCAAGTCTTGGAGCAAGTCAAACAGGGCGGTGTGTTTCCCCAGCAGGTGTTCGCGGATTCATTACAGTAATGGTGATCTACATCTCCGCTTTA